TTTATATAGACATATCTATAATGAACTATTAGACAAGTGTACAACTGGCTACACATATAACTTTTTTATATTACCTATTTAAGAAGTCTGCCCAAGAGTTCCCTACAGGTTGCTGTACCTAACACCTCCTGCTTAGATGTTCCATTTAAACCCTCTGATCTAATCCTAGTATTAATTTCACCAGATCACAGACCCGGATCTATTCGCATTCGACCATAGGACTATAATCCTTAGACTATTTTTATTCTCAAGGTAAACCTACCAGAGCGAGTCATATTCTCTTTTACCGCTTACCTGGTTTAACGCTATGACCAGGGTGACACTTGCAGTCAGGGTTACCCCTTAAATCACTATTACTCTTGTAAAGTTCACCCAATCCCTGGTACTCATCTTTCTGACTTCTTCTTCATCATCCCCTACTAGCCGCAACTCGGAACCAACAATGAACTTCTCCAGACTCCCAATCCAGATGGCCTGGTATGGTATACTTATGTATCTTTTTTCTTCAGTGATTCCAGCAGTCTGGTTGGTCATGTGCTTCTCTATACATCTTTGTCATCCGGTTTATCTGACAGTTCCTATGAAGGTGTTTCTTGGGCTTCCGTCAGTCCAATGGCACCATCGAAAGTTTGTGCTACCTCTTTACTCAGATTTCTAAGTGAGTTTCCATCTCTTCGGCTTCTTAGCCTTCTACGCCCAGTGGTCTTATTGTGGGTTTGCCCGAAGCCTTATACGACATTGGTTTTACATTTCTCTATATACATATACTGTGTAATGTTACACTTAGCATAAATGCTCTGAGCTCCCAATGTCAGATAGGACCTGACTTGGTTTACCTAAGATTACAGATACCCAAAACCCAACCGATCGGCAAGAGACAGTTACTGTAATACAGGTATAATTTCCAAATTCATCGTCCATAGGAATTGAACCTTAGATCTGCCACTTGAGGGTTGACAACCTATCCACTTCACTAGGTCGCCACACCCTCATTTGTTAAATTTTTTAATTTTCAGGATATATTAATTTTATATCTAAATATTTAATAATTGATGTTTTATATTGGTTTTTAAATTTTCTAAAAAATATTTTTTTTTCAATTATAAATTAATTTAAATATTACTAGAATATCTCGACGAGCTGCAGTAAATGAAAAAATATTTTGCAAGATTCTAAAATTGTTTGTACAGTCGTCCCTCCATATAATCACCCTTCATAGAGTTACAAACTTTATTTAGTTACTTCTTTTTAAATTTCTGTTTTTTTATTATTAAATAGCCTTCAGTATAATTACAATATACTTATAATCACTATCACATATATTTTTTATTTTTATAAAATTTTTTAATAATAAAACTCCTCTTATATAATCACAAATTATTAAATAATATATAATACAAAAAATCAGTTCTGCTCACTTCGATGTTTATTTTGTAGACACAATACTTCACTAAACATAATTTACTAACTTGTTTAAGTTCTCAGAATGGCCCAACAATATTCTGTTCTATATAGATTGGTTTGCATTACACAATAGATTACATTAATTTAACCAGAATTATATGCTATAACATAAACTTTGTAGGGGCTGCCTTGTCAAACTCAACAAGTTCATTTCGCAGTTTATTTTAACAGCCCATTTCACAAACAAAGTAACTCTGATCATTATCATTAAGATCAAGATTAAAAAGAGATAAGCTTAATATAATTTATAAAAAAAAAAAGCTTGTTATTGAAATAAGCTGTTAGTAAAATAAATTGGCAGTGAATTAAGTGCCAGTAAAATAAACATATTAGTGAATGATATGTAATCCAAAAAATTTTACTTAATCACTTTTATTTTTATTTCTCAATTTGAGTTAACAAAAAAACTAGTAAGATAATTATATCAGGAAGTTTGAAAGACATAACCAAAAGGCTATCGATTTTACAGATTATGTGTAGTGCCACCTGCAACAATTGAATTAGTATTAGATCTATTGCTATCGCTATGTAGAAAATTTTTAACCTTGCATTGTATATTGTCATATTCTAATATTGAACATTGGTGATGCCACTACATGCTCTGAAAATCGATAGCACTCTGGTCATGTTGAGTTCAAAAGGTGTTAAATAACATAAAAATATTGCTTAACAAATCCTTTATCAAGTAATGAATTTTATTAATAAAATTAATATTAAATAACTTTATCAACACTAGTTATTCAATAACAAGCCATTTACACTAATTTTATTAATAAAAATTATTACCCGATAAAGGGTTTGTTTAAGCAACATTTTTAAGGATATTATTAAACAACTTTTGAACTTCCTGATGCACATGAATAAATAAACCAAATTTCTAAAAGCAGAAGCCTTTAAAATATGCTCTGATGTGTTGAAACTTGAATTAACAGGATTGTAAATTAAGGTTATTACATAATATGCAATCATCATAAAGTTTTCGCTACATCATATTAAATAAAATAATTTTAAAAATTGGCCTCATGATCAGTAAAACTCAAATTTGTTTCTATATGTAGAAAAGCTTGATAATTTTTGTTTAAGAAAAAAAGATGTGTGGCATAATAAAATTCACAGATTCAAAGAAAATTTTACTTGCATACAATCTGCACACTGCAGATTCTACTTATAGATTTTAATATTAAACACTGCTCATGATGTTTACACTTAAAGCCAAATTGCCTACTAACTTATGAATTGCCACCATAACACAGGTTAAAATAAAGTATATCAAATAAGTATTATAAAAATATCAGGTTCTGATTTTTTCTGATTCTTGATGCCCACAGCTATCGGATATTTGATAGCTTTATCAAGTATCTGATAGTTTTATCAGCTCCTGATATGTCTTGTTTTTGTTATAATAGGTGCCAAGAATTAGAAAATCAGAATCTGATATTTCTAGAATACTTTTTATACATTTTATTTCAACCTGTGCAAGTTTCTTTCAGTCATCACTCAATTTTAGATCATTAGCAAGTGAATAATTTAATGACAAAATCAAGAATTATCTATACTTACTGCAGTTATACTTACTGATCAGTTAATTTAAAGAAATGCATGACAAATAAAAACTTGTAATGTTTCTTAATTTCCCATGTTAACTTTTAATCAGTATCTGATTTGAATTTCTTATTTGGCATTATTTAAATTAATTTTAACAGAAACTTGTAATTACAAATTTGAATTTTACTGTACCAGACCAGAAATTGTGTAATATTAATTATATATTAAAGCGTATTGATAGTATTTTGAACATACTTAATCACATTTGTATATAAAATAACCAGAACACTAATTTTCAGAAATCTGGTATAGCAAAATTTACATTTATATTTATAGGCTTTCTTTTGATCACACTTACCTATAATTATTAAGATATGTTTTTAAATGACCAAAAAAATTCAAATAAAAGATAAAGGAAAAAAAATTGCAATAATTGATGGCGTACATCAAACTTGTATGAATTTAAGGTTTAAATAATTCCAATATCACTTGTGTGAACTTGGCTAAACCATTATTGATCATGCAAGCAAACTATTATCTATCGTCGTTATCAGCCTGCAAAGTGAAATCTAATTGTAATTTGAGATCTGTTTCTGTATTAATACAAGATTTACCAAACAGAGCATATAATTAAAGCTTGTTAGTAACTAGAAAATCTGTAAATTAATTATTAATAATACTTAAAATTCCAACTTACTTGGCATTGTTTATATACTTTTAGATAGTCATTAAAAGATTAATAGGCCTTATATGTATTTTAAATATAAAAGAGCTATTAGTTCTATAAATCTCTTTAAATAAAATTTGAGTAAATACTTAATGTCATCTAAAAATTTATCACAAAAAAGACCAAGAACAGCTGTTAGTAATCATTTGAAATGAGAAATATGTAAATATAGTTAAAATAATCCTAACAAAAGGCAAATAGATATTGCTAACTATTTCAATTCTCAAAACCCCAATTTAAATTTGGATCAGACCACTATTTCAAAGAAATTAAAAGATAAGTCAAAATGGTTAGCAATTACAGAAGACCAATTAAGTTCTACAGTCTTTCGGCATAAACAAATGAAATATCCTTTATTGAATCAATCAATGAGACTCTGGATTGAACAAATTACTAACAGCAAAGTGATTCTAACAGAATTAATGATTAAAGAAAAGGTGGCTTTATTTGCAAATACCTTGGATCTAGATGATGATGCTTTAAAATTTTCTAATGGATGGATTCATAAATTTAAACAGTGCAATAATCTAAAAAATTTTAGATTACATAGAGAAGCTAACAGCGCACAACTATCATCACTTCCAGAATATAGAGAAAAATTGCGTAAGTTGATTGAAAATTATATGTTGGATAATGTGTTTAATGCAGATAAGACAGAGCTATTCTACTGTATAGTGCTGGACCAAACACTTACATCTTGATCAAGACCTGGATTTAAAAAGGCTAGTTATTATAAATTATAATAAATTTAATAATATTGTTATCTATATAGTAAGTTATCCAGTATATAAAAAAAATTTAATATTTAACTCTAGAGTTAATATTATGAAAAATGAATTTATTATAATATTTGTGGCAAATAATACTTTCTTGTTGGCTTACTCTCATGATTTGTACCTGGGATTAATCAAGTATATTTCATAAACATGATTGTAAAAAACCTAAGTACTAATCAAGATTTTGCCTCTAGAAATATAAAAAACCCAGATACTATTTGCCACAAATTACAGTATAATAAAATTGTGCTTAAATTGTTTTTTATAATAAATTTTAAGACATTAGTGAGTTTTATTTTTTTTATATACCAGGTAACTTATTCACTAGTACAAATAAAATTTTTTTATTTTAATTATTTAATTTTATAATAATTAGGATCATTCATGGATTACTATTATGCTAACATGTAACGCAATGAGAACCGAAAAATTAAAACCATTAGTAATTGGGTCTTCAATTTCTCCTCGTGTGCTTTATAATGTTAATTATGATTCCTTATCTGTTACTTATCGTGCAAATTCCTGAGCATGGATGTGAAATGACATATTTTTTGAATAGTTAACAAATTTAGATTAGAGATTTAACTTTTAAAATTGTCAAGTTTTGTTGTTAGTAGATAATGCCTTATCACATTTTCATAACCAACCTAATGCATATAAAACATATAAATTAAATGAATTAAATTCTAATTTAGATGAAGAAACATCTAATAATTCAGAACTTGAAGTAACAACTATTTCACATGAGAATTGTTGAGGTCGAGGTTAGTCAAGATTAACTTAAACTAATTAGAGTGCAAATAATAGTCATAGTAATTATGATAAATATAGTACTGGTGAAAGTAAGGATCCTTATAGTAATGGTTATAGTCAACCATGTATTATTCTTGATTATTCAAATGTACAATTAACTAATATTAAACTTGAATTTTTACCTCCAAATACTACTGCACACCTGCAGCCTATAGATGCAAGTATTATCAAAAGTTTCAAATCCAAATATAAGCAAAAATATATTCATCATATTCTAATGCAACTTGAAAACAATAAAGATTTAAAAAAGTTAAAAATTTATACCTTGGACCACCATCAATATAAATCAAGCAGATTAACATTTTTAAGAAAAATTAATACCTTAACTTACACAAGCTCATATCTTGATAAATTTTGTTATTTAATTGTCAAAGAAAGCTTAAATCTTTTATTTAACTATTAAATCACAGAAATAGCTTCAAAGTTCATCGAGATATGAGCTGTAAAGTTAAGATATTAATTGTTTTTTTAAAAAATATATATTAATCTGCTTGATTTCTATTGACATCTGCCTCTTTAATTCTTTAATTAATAGGTGTCTTAATACTAATTAAATTTTAATTTCAATTAGAAAAAAGTTAAATATTAAGAATGCTATATACTACGTATCTGAGTCTTGAGATGCTGTTGAAGACCAGGTAATTGTTAATTGTTGGAGAAAGACCAGAATTTTACCATCAGTTTCTCGTGAAGAAATAGAAATTGCTATCAATAATCAGGATATGTTGTTAGAACAGTAAGAAGAGGATGTCAATGACTTGGTAATAGACTTGACCTCTCAAGATCCAGATTTGGAAATTAAAAGCTAATTAAATATATATTTAAACCTTGGTAATTGCATATAATAACTAAGGAAAAGCTTGAAGATTTAGAAATTATTGAAATTGTTTTAGATGAAGCAAATCAATGCGAAAATAGAGATTCTGATAATTCAGATGAAGAACAACCAGAAATTTCTATTTTAGAAGGGCTAATGGGTTTAAATAAATTTATTAGCTTTTTTGAACAACAAATTGATACAGATTTCAAAGCTAAGGATCTTAAAATTTTTTGAAAATACTTAGCTTTGTTAAACTGAAAATATAGAAAATCTAAGTGCCAAGCATCTATTAATGATTTTTTTACGCAATTAAATAATAAGAATGATTATGATGTATTGTAACTTTTTTTTTTTCTAACATATGTACACATGTATATTTTTTATTAAGGAGAAAAATTGTAGTTACTTGTGTGATAACTATATAAATAATCTTCAGTATAAAATATTTTGAAAAAAAATTTTCTTTCATAATTCAAGAATCAAGGTATTCGGGCTTTGATAAGTTTACTGTACCGAAAGTGTGAAAAAAAAGCCTGATAGTAAAATGATCAGTTTTAGATATCAATATTGCAAGCCAAAATTGCTTCAAAAAAATGCAAAAGTTTATTTCCAATAAAGTAATTAAACATAGTAGTTTTTCTTTAAGTCATTATGATCTATTTATTAAAAAAAGAAGCAAACTTAAACAAGAAAATCACAGTATTATAGCCATCAATTAAATAATACTGTCTACACTTAAGATTCAAATCCTGTGATCTAAGAGCTTTATTTAAAGAGTAAAGTACAGATCAATGATGCAGCCCAGCAGAGAATAACCAATCCGTAACTAATTTTGACTCAAGATTAGTTACTGATTAGTTATTCTATGCTAGGCTGTGCCATTGATCTGTACTTTGAGAGGGCTGTTCTGGTTAATTCTTATTTGAAACTTTGATACTAAAATGCAATAAATAATTAATATAATTAACATTTTAATAAATACAAGTATAGAAAAAAATAAGATATAGATCAAACTTCTAAAGATTACTATAGTTACTTGTTATGTAAATATGTATGTAAATAATTATGATATAATAGGAGGAAATGTTAATGTTATACAATTGGTTTTACATACAATGTGAAATACATAAAAAATTTTTTATATATATTTCATATCATGTGTAAAATCAATCATGTAACATTAATGTTTCCTCCTGTTTTATGATGCTACATGCAAAAAAATTTAATGTTATATATTTCCCTTTATTAAATCACATTAATTATTTTTAATATAAGATGTGCTTATATAGAGGTAACTTTTATTAAGTCACACTTTTTTATAATCACCTAATTGGTATATACCCAACTGTGTGATTATAGGGGAGAATGACTGTATTGTTTTTAAATTAGTTTTTTAATTGTTAATATTAATTACAATTAACAAAAATTATTAGACACGTAAAAGACT